CCGACCGACAGAAGGCCCAGGGGACGGCTAAGATTAACTAGGTACAAATACATGAAAGGAGTCTGCTCTAGACTCCGGTGGTCTTCTGCCGAAGCTCAAATTCTGGTACTGGATTGGGAACGTTGGAAAAGCTGTCTGCCGCGTATCCCTGTGCAACTGGAAAAGCAATGCGGTTTTGGAAGACGAAAATTTTAAGAACCAGTTGTTTCGAGTTCATAACCGACTTCTCAGTCACGCATCAACTAAGTCCCAGTTTAACAACAATATAAATGTTTAGAATAATATCCTGCTTAAAAAAGAAATGGCATCTAAGCGAGAAATAGTTGCTTTGCCTTCCTTTCTCGAGGCAATCGCAACACGCGCCCGAATCGTCACAACTGTAACTTCTCATTCTTAAGAAACAGCGGCTGTGCAAGTTCTCGCAATTTCTGTATTCCAGACCATGTCAGGACGGGGAAGAACATGGACATGTATCAGAAAGCAATTTTCAGTCGCTTGTACACGTGATCGAAGTTTTTCAGTGATGGTCTTGACTTATGACCGTAACGATGGAGAAGAAGAAATTAAACAATCAGCTCTGCTTTAGTCACTGTGGTTCGGCTTAGTTCATACGGAACGCCAGAGGCAACTCCAATCTGCAGGTCGATCTCTTCCACGAATTTTTCTTCACCGGTAAGCACGACCCGGAGGTATTTGAACTTCATCTGCTTCACTGCCTTTCCGTTAATGTGGAGAGCAACGGGCTGTAGAACGAGAAAGCACTAGGTTTTTGGTTTTGGATGCGTTCACACGCATGCCAGCTACGTCGCACTTGGCTGCAAACCTTTCCAGGGAGCGCTGTACATCAGTGATAAAGATAAGATAGCAATAAAGCACCTTCTCGTCTGAAAAGAGCAACCTTCTCGTCTCCACATCTTCTACACCAACACATTCATCGCGTTGGGTGTGCCGCACTATTCTCTCCATGTACGACCAAATAGGGGAGGGGACAGAACGCAGAATTGGCGTAGACCAGTACCAACTTTTGATCGCTTGGACTTAACATCATTTTACTCCGACGCAGCACCTGCCATCAGCACAAAATGATTGGATGGCTCCTAGAAACTTGCCGTCGATCACATGTTCCCAGATATGTTCACAGATTGTTGCGCGGTTTCCGTCATTAGCTACGCTTATGTCAGCAAAGCACATATACGCTGGATAAGCGAACTCTGACTGTTTCCATACAATGTGAGATAGGGTGAACATCTGGTCAGACATGATGCGACCTAGTCGGAAGTCATGCTCTTCTGCTATTTTGTGATCAGTCATTCCTCGGCTCCCTTCGATCAACTTTATCTAGACTCTACCCGCCAGGCTGAATTGCGCAATGTCCGAATAATTGGAGTACTCCCTATGGTTTCCTTTCTTGAACAGGGGTATAACAGCTCCCGCTCTCCAGTCATCTGGTGTCTTCCCTGAAGCCATTGCGCCTTTGCACACACACATGAGACGGCACATGCCTGGTTTGACAATTGCCTTGAGCATTTCAGGAAGGATTTCATCAATTCCAGCATCTTTGCATTCCAAGCTTTGCATAGCTTATGTGATTTTATCTACAGAAATTACAGCATCATTTGACTGTTTAGGTACATGCATGTACTCTTGCGGTCGATCCGGGTACAGGAGTACCTCAATGTCATCTCTTCGTCGTTGAAGAATGATCTCATGTTCGGTAAGTGCATGTCCAGACGTGTTTTTAAGACTCTTTGATTGCCATTCTTTTAACATTGGAGCAGGCAGCTGATCTGCCAGAATGCCGTTTTACCGCATGAAACATTGATTCGATTACTTCACAGAACCTCTGCTAGGAATAAGTTATGGATTTCGTTACCGCTTTCACTGTCAACTTGCACTCTTCTACATATCGCTTGCGACTTGAAGGATCTTTGCTTCCCAGCCATTTCTTGAGAGCAGCCTTCTTCTTTATATGCCAGCCGCATCTCTGTGCCCACCAAAAAAATCATATCTGAGCTGTAGGAGGCAGGCGAACCTGGTTGAATCCGCAGCAGTCGGCGGCAAGTCCGAGTACGTCAGTCTTGAAGAGTTCAGACCCGCCTTTCACATCAGCGATCGTCACGACGATCTGTTTAAACCTTCGTGCAATGTTATTTGAAAGTTTCCCTCTCGTATCCTCTGACGGTAACATTGCACATTTGA